CATCATTTTGTTGGTCAATTAACGCGACTCGACGCGAGCGGCAGCATCTGGCGAAGTGGCCCAGTTTACCACAGCTTTTACACTCAGCTGTACGAGCCGGACATGTTTGACAGTCAGCTTTGTGGCGAGAACTCCCACATCTATAGCACGAAACAGTCGAATTCTGAGGTTGACTGGAACCCTTGTGTTGAATCTTACTGACTTTTAGTATATCACTCGACTTGAATAGGCTGGAATGTTCAACGGCGGCTTTTATTAGTCTTGCGATCTCTATGGCTCTCTCCCAGGTAAGTTTTGACGGATCTTCGGAAAGTAGCTTTTCGCGTATACGATTATCCTTTATACCGGTTATCAACTGCTGCGTCAGCATAACACTCTCAAGTGTATTCTTCGGGATGCTAGTATACTCACAGGTTTTTACAGACCGAATTAAACGAGCGACAAATTGTTCCAGTGGCTCTGCATCTTCTTGCCTCAAACAGCAGAACTTGTAGCGTTCAGCGAAAATGTTTGGCCGTGCACCCCATGACTGATCGAGTACATCCAATGCCTTTGTAAGTGTGTCGAATTTCTGCAGATCTAGCGCATCGAAATAACGTTGACCTTCATTGCCCAACCGGTGACGAAGTAGTTTCAGTTTTTGCTTCTCATCGTAAGTAGTAGTTGCTGGGAGTAGGTCCAAGTAATTCGTGAAAAACGTTCTCCATTGGATCCAATCACTCTCCGTAGGTCTAGTAGCAGGATCGCACCAAAAGGCTTCTGGAGGTAGTAGGTGAAATGCCATTGTAATGGTCCACAGCCCGCGAAGCCACTGTTGTATACACACGTACACTAGTCCCCTGCACGCAGGGTCTTGAACAAACACGACCAAAGCCCCGAACGAGGAAGCAGAACTCTACTGGTATGCAACACAAGCTTCTATTCACGCCAATGGTACATGCACTCAGTATATTCAAAACAACCCTGGTATTGATCGCGAACGGACAGGCATCCAATCACACGCTACGAAGTGCGGTCGTGGTAAGGCCCGCGCGTACGCGCTACCACAGTGATCTGAATGCGCCAAGTCAAGCGAGTTGGTCCGCCACACCGAGCGACCTGTTTGCGATAGAAACTACCGATTTAGTAATGTTGTCATGCACTGGCAACTTGCACGTTGTAGGTTCATTCATCTTTATGCTGCATGTTAACCAGAAGAAGAAGCCTAGTTATGTGCCGCAAAACAACACAACTAGATGATCGCAGAAACGAAAACAATTACCGGTGTGCTTAGTTTCTATACTGCGAACAGTTCATCGTGATACGCTTAAATAGCAGACATCCTCACAGCAAAACGTACCAGGCTTAATCAAATACGACATTTATGTTTGACATGATTTTCTCTACATTTGCCGCTTTTCCATCCCTGATAAATTGTGAGCATGTCATTGTTTTATCCTCCATTGAACCTGAAGTCAGCTCGATCAGTTTTGGTCAGGTTCCGTTGAATTGTCGCTTACGCTGTTTGTATAGTTGGCTTAGAGTCATTAAGTATAGGACTGATGCTTCGACAGTTTCCAAACTACATCCCTTGACTTGAGGCAAGAATGGATAAGATGGTCTGCCTACCGCGGAACACGGATCATATGTGAGGGAAGAGCAGACAGGTTTCCACTATAGGTCAGACTACATGTACCATATTTTCAACTTTTAGCGAGTATTAGAGGGGCGTCACACGTACGCAGACTAGCGGTGGCTGTTTTGAAAGGAACGTTTTTGTGTCATTTACCAACGTTACAGGCCGTGTCGGGGTCAATATCGGATTATCGAGGGCCTCTTCGGCTACATGTGACGTTCGGTAAGGCTGTCCAATTTCCCCATAGTTGTTCAACTTTCTTGTGGATACCACCGAGTTCCCCCTGCTTAATATCATGATACGGGCATCGAGGTACTGCTTGACGGAAAACAAACTAATGTGGATTGTGCGGACGATGTCGTCTTTCTGTTTGATAACCGTGACGCAGCGCAACCAACTTCAGATCAACTCACTGAAATGGTCCCTCCGTTTGAAATATACTTCGTACATTCAAAGTGCAAGGTCTTGTTGCTGGGCCTCTGGGCACTTGATTATCTTATGACTTGACGACACGAAACGAGAAGGTCGTTCAGATCACCTGCCTTTTCTGTCGCATCAACACCGACAGACTCATCGTTGCTGAGTTTCACATATTTACGAAATCGAGTACAGCACTCTTGAACTTGCGATATCTGTAGCGCCAGTCGGGGAGGTGTCTTTCAGTGTGAGATGCTATGTCTAGTAGTTATCTTTGTGGGTTGTCCCCTTCTATTGGATTGCGATTAAGCCTTTTCCGTCTGAGGCTCATTCAGATTTTTATTCATCGCTGTCTTCTGAGCATCGCCCATGTCGCATGGTGCCAGGATATCTGCAATGTTGGTTTGCGCAAGTGAGTGATGAACGGTACTATTCAAGGGGGTGTAACAAATAAGATTAATTACGGAAGCAAATGTTGATAACTCAGCTTGTTCAGTTGGTGGTCTGAGTGTTCGCTGAGCTCGGCAGTTTGGCTGCAAACGTTTCGTCACTACCCGAGGTGACATCGTCAGTGCGCGTTTATGTATCAGAGCAGTGCGGTACGAAGCGTCAGTGACGAAACGTTTGCAGCCACACTGCTGAGCTCAGCTGACACTCAGACCACCAACTAAGATGAATCGCCTTGCGTTACCCTTGACACTTGCTACGTTCTCCAACTTATTACTGGCTGAGGCGAGCCATGTATCTTTGTGAACATTCATCGCAGGCAGATAGCCACCACACAACGCCGGCCCGTACCCTTAAGGATCACAAGCCTGCTTTGTAAACTGAGGACTCGGGTCGGAGCCTGCATAGGGACGGGGCGGCCCTCGCAGTATCCTTAGTCCACGTTAGAACGGTGGTAGTTGAGCGGCAGCGAAGTGCCGGTACTGCGTGCCGGTGTACTGCTGATGCCTTTCAAGATAGCGATGGACGGCAGTTTCGTGCTATTGAGACTCCTCAGTAGCGCGCATCCGCCGAATCCTGTCGGATTCGAACCCATAAACTTACTCAAACGAGTCAGTGACTAATGCCACTGAGCCATGGGTGACGGGGGCGGACCGCCATGGGTGAAATCTAACTGCGATGTCGCACACTTTTCCGATTATGTGTTGGCACTCTGGTTGCGACGAATTTTCCCCTAAGAGCCTTGTATTGTTTGCTGGATGTCGGAAGTCCCAAAGCTCGTGACGTACAAAAGTTGCTTTCGCAGCAAACACTGAAGTCATTGTTGACGAAACTGGATGTTGTTGATCCGTGTCACGTTTGAGGCTGGAATCCACGCGATCAATCATTTCGCCGGTTTGAAATAGTGTGGTGTAACGTTAACATTATCGTCTTCTATTCACTCCTCTTATATGGTTTGTCCGATACCGAGCTATCTGTAAAGTAAGTATGATTAGGATGCAAAGAAAATAAACCTACAAGGATGCTGTCTTACCCGTACCGCATTATCTTCCCACCATAGCCATGTGTTTGTAACCGTATGTTGTTGGCAAGATGTATGCACGTTTTTCTCGGTTCGCTCACCTCCGTTTCATCCCCACCCATATTATTCCTCATTCTCCAGGTCATCACGGTCGTATGACAGCGAAGCACATCTGTACAATGTGCTTCTATTGTTACTGTTGCTGATTTCTGTTCATGCCTCTCGTTTGCTAGAGGCTCCATTTGTCACAGCTTTACTTGGCAATATTGAACGCTTGGTTGCGAATGCAGCTGGCGAGATACTAACCACAAATTTCGCTTTTTTACCTGGTCAAAAAGACTACTCGTTCTTCCATACAAGACTTTCCTTTCGCAAAGTTCAAAATGGCCAGAAACATGTTTTAACAAGATAACCTGAATTCAGCTATTTCGCATATTCTCCTCCTAAAAGGTGCTCATGTATTGTCGATCCCAGAAAGAAAACTAAATGTGGTAGCCAAAAAGCAAGCATATGTTTCAATTGCTTCTTCAGGCTTTTACAGTAGTAAACGTGACAGTGATGTTGGCTATCCATTGTGTGCGCAAAACAAGAGTAAAGCGAACTCACACTTTCTGGTGGGTAATCACGTGCTCAAAGACACATGAATTTGCCGATCTGGCTTGAATCCTTCCCTTCCGGTAGCCGGCCATTCTAGTTGTTGAAATTGTATCATTTTCTTCTGTACGCTCAGATCGGGTCTTGTTAATCGCATGCATACAACCTTCGCAGTATCAAGCAAGTAGTGGAATGTCTAGGTTGCATACGGAGACATTCAAGCTTCAACGTCATTGGATAATCGAAAACAGTCAATGTTCGTCTGATACTAACTGGCATTCCGCTAAGAGTAATGTGGCTACCAGCCTAACCAAGGCAGGACGAGACTGGCGACGAGTTCGGTCCGTTTACACAAAATGGTTTTCAGCCGCCTAATTACCGAAGCCTCAGAGAACTGAAGCAGGTGAGCGGTGCGCTGTCGGTTGATTATCCTAACTGATTCATATGGGCTTTCACACCTGAAGCAGTCAAGTATGTGTCGGGCGATTGATCTACCGGACAGCCTCGCGACTTGGTTTCATGGAATATGCTCCAAAATCTTTGAAGACGGTCTCCTCTCACTTCGGCCGACGTACTTGCTACCGCAGGTACAGTGAAACAGGTAAATAATTGAGACGTTAACTAGTCATGTTTGTCCAGACTTGATTAAAGCAGCAACTTTCTAACTTGGTGCGAAACCACAAGGTCAGCAACGTAATAACATCTTTTTGTGGATCGACAGAGACGATATTTGAATCTCTTGCTATTTTTGTCTTTGAATGATAGCGTTATGAACATTTGCGACGGAATATGTCAGCATTTACACTTTATTTTTACTTTGTGAAATCCCCTTAAAACGCTTTTGTCTCACCTTACCCTTTGCGCTATCCGCTTTTTCCTCCTTGCTGATTCCCGTCTTCGATCCAGATGTCCGCAACTCCACCCGGGCCCATCAGCAAAACATGCATCCCCATGAACTGCGGGCGTTGTGCGTATTAATAAATGACTTTCTGTTGCAACACAATTATCGTATTACTGCTGTGCAATTTGTGGAAGAATCCGAGTCGGCTGGACTGCAAGATGTTGGCTCTTGGGACCAAGTAGGTCAACATGTTATTTGTGCTTAGTAAGATTTTTATTCCCTTCGTCATTAACGTGTGGCCAATCTTGTGGCTTTTTCGCGCTGTTCCATGACTGGTTCTTGACAAATCGCAGGGTAACACCTTAGTTACGTTCATTCCAATACAGTTTCTCTCTCAGTAAGACCTGTGACTGTAGCACTTTCGCGTTTGCTCAGCGTTGACCTGATTTCTTGATTGATCGCTTTTTCAGGGAGGCTCCTTGGCTTTTCAAAAGTTGTTCTCAGTTTCCAAGCCTAGCGTTTAGTATTCCTTCTACAGTTTTTATACTCGAGTCATTTGTCTGTTATATTTTCTTCGCGCGATCGACCTATCAGTATCATATCCTAGCGGTCATGGACGGCACTCTTGTCTCCACTCGTTTCGCTCAACCGCCTGAACGTCGATTGACTCAGCAGTTTGATCCTCCTCAACATTTTGTTCCCCCCCCCCCCATACTACGTAGCCATGGCTCATTTGAAAGACGCGCAACTGCTCTCAAGTTATCACTTCCTTTTGCCATGTCTGATCGGCTCTCGGTTGTATTTAACCTTGATTTCCGTACGCTTCTCCTCGGTTGGTCCATTTATGAATCAGTTCTAACCCTCTTATTCAGGAATGCCCATGTCATCTTGATTTTATGCCTGAGTCCTGTAAACGTCGGTCCTTCAGGGACAAAACGTATATTCTGCAAACAAAAGGACCAGGCGAAAACGCAGGCAGAGGGCGAGTGAAACATATCGGTATATACAGCTAGTTGGATCCATAATTAACGATCTTTGTGAATGCATGACATTTTTCCTTTGATTCAGTCAAACAAACTCACTGCAATGCGTCCAACTGTTGGCCAATCAGCGTGCATGCGAGAAACGTGTGAACGTCCAATTAGCTGCCGCCTTTCCTTGCGGCGGCCTAACGACTTCCTTGCTGGGCTGGCACCGCACGTTCGTTCGAGTGTATACTCCCATCACATCCTCCCTTTTTCATGTTCTTGCTGCTGTACTTTGCTAAATAGTCCATACACTTTACCACTCCGCGTCCTCTTTGTTGGATCTGCCGATGTCGCCTCATTGCCGCACGCAGTATAACGCTCTCTCCCTGATTCATGCTGTCGTCTCGGACATCTCCTCAGCTGTACTCGGTTTCTTCTCAGCTTCTTCCCTCCAACATTTACTTCGTATGACCTTTCACCGACTTTCGCAGCCACGACTCCTTTTCTCCACCGCTCCTGTCCATCGGGAATTGGTTCAACCCATACTTCTTCCCCCACTGTCAGCTCAAGTAATTCCCGTGCGCCGTTGTCGTAGTACCGTTCTGAGTAGCCATTCGCCTTTTCAAACTGTTCTGTACTTTCCCAAGTTGTGGCGTGACAGGGCGCAGAAGTGTTGCGGATGCAGGCATCACAGTTCTGGTCCTTCGACTGTATAGGCGCTGCACTGGGCTCAGGCCGATATCCGTTGAAGGAGTGTTGCGACTCTCCAGTAGCATGAGGTATGGGTCCTCCCGAGTATCTCTAGCCTTCGCTAATAGTCGCTTGGCTTGCTTCACTGCCGACTCTGCCTTCCCATTTGATTGACTGTGATAGGGACTGGTTTGCCGGTGTGCGAATTCCCATTTGGTTGCGAAAGCCTGGAATGCCCTGCTGCTGAACTGGGGGCCGTTGTCTGAGACTAGCTCCTCCGGTATCCCGTGCCGTGCGAATTGACATCTGAGTTTGTTGATTACTGCCTCCGTGGTCGTGGTGGTGAGTAAATCGATTTCAAAGTAATCACTATAGTAGTCCACCTTGAGTAAGTAATCCTTTCCGTTGTCTCAGAATAGATCCACTGCTACCTTTTGCCACGGTCGGTCCGGAACATCATGCAGCATCATCGGTTCCTTCTTTTGCCGAATGTCGTGTGAACGGCACGCCTCACAGTTAGACACATGATCCTTGATCTGACCTGTCATTCCTGGCCAGAACATCAGTTCTCTTGCTCGATTAATGGTGTAATTTGCACCCAGGTGAGCGCGATGGACATGCTCCAGCATCTCCTTTCGGAGAGAAGAAGGGATTAGGATTCGACTTCCCTTGAACAACAGACCGTCACAGACAGTGAGTTCGTCCCGAAAATTGAAGTAGGGTGTTAATTCTTTCGGGAGCTGCTTCTTTGTTTCTGGCCACCCATTGAGGATAACGTCTCGCAAAGCTGCAAAAGTTTGGTCTTCCTCCGTGAAACGCCTTATGTCTTTCAAACGGTTTTCTGTCACTGCCAGATGCTGCACCATGTTAAATGTCTCGATCTCTTCTAGATGATGTTCGGCCACTGGCGGATGTGCTCTCGACAGGGTGTCCGCGATGAACATCTGTGTGCCAGGTGTGTACACAATGTCAATGTCATACTTTTGGAGCCGGATAAGCATACGCTGCAGACGGCGAGGAACGTTATTCAGTGGTTTAGTGGCTATCGACACCAGCGGCTTATGATCAGTGTACACGGTTGTCTTTCTTCCAAACGTATAATCATTGAAACGCTCCATGGCATAGACCACTGCCAGCATCTCTTTCTCGATCTGTGCGTATCGCCTCTCGGCCTCTGTGAGTGCTCGACTGCGGAAATCCAAAGGTCTTGCGTTCTGCAACAGAACAGCACCTATTCCACTCTGGCTACTATCACACTGTACCTCCAATGGTTGTGCTGGATCGTAATATCCGAGTACGGGCGCATTACTGATAAGGTTCTTACTGGTTGCGAAAGCCAAATCCTGTTCCTTCCCCCAGCTCCAATCTACTCCTTTGTGAGTTAACTGCCTAATCGGAGTCATGACATCAGCGAGTCCTGGTAGGGACCGGCTTAAATAATTCACCATACCGTTTAGGCGATGGACTGCCTTCACATCGTTAGGGGACGGCATCTCTTGTATCGCCTTAATCTTCCCTGGGTCAACCCTGATTCCGTCGGATGTTAACACATGCCCATGGAAAATCACCTCCTCTTTCCGCAGCTCTACTTTCTCGCGTTTTAGCTTGATGTTCTTTTGCACGCAACGCCTCAGGAACCGGTGTAGCTTAGTGTCATGCTCTTCTTCGGTAGAACCGTAAATCAGAACGTCATCTAAATTATCTATTGCTTGCACCAAACGCTTTTGGAAAATTTCGCTAGACACCTTCAGGCCAAACGGTAATCGCAGCCAACGATAACGTCCGAACGGTGTAGCAAATGTGGTGAGGAAACTGGATTCGTCGTCTAGAACAACGTGCCAGAATGCGGAAGAAAGGTCTACTTTCGTGAAAAACTTAGCTGTTGTCAGACGTGGTAAAACATCTTCTAACGTCGGTAGCGCATAATGTTCTCTACGCAGGGCCTCATTCAGTGGCTTCGGATCTATACATACGCGTAGTTCGCCATTTTTCTTCGTAATGATTGCGACCTGGCTAACCCAGTCTGTTGGCTCATCAACCTTTGCAATCACACTCTGCATAACCAGCTTGTTCAATTCCGCGGAAAATCGGTCACGTAGCGCAAATGGGACTCTCCTAGCAGGTAACGCAATCGGGCGTACCAAAGGATCTAACGACAGGTGAGCGGTACCCTCAAATTCCCCTAAACCCAGGCTAAACACAGACGGATACTGGTCACTAACATCGGCTTCACTCTGACAAGCGTACACAAAACGATCATGGTTAAAAATGACAAAGCCAAGAGATAAAATCGAATCAATGCCGAGATTCGGCGTGAGATCCTCATCCACGATCACGAACTGCAGACGATGCGAAACACCGTCTCTCGGATTGACCACTTCAATTGTCGCTGAGCCCTTTGGCTTGATTCTGGAACCATTCCACATGCGCAAATAATCTTGATCCGATTGAATCTGCACGCCGCGGCAGTGCTTTCTGGGCAAAATATTGATCGTCGCGCCTGTGTCTAACTGGAATCGCACAGACCGTCCCTCGATCAGAAGACTTGCATAGACACACTTCTGCGACGCTTTCCGAGACACGTTACCAATCGATTGTTCGGTGTCTTCTGTCAATTTGTCTGGAACGAGTGCACTGACATCTGTCGACTGACAGCAGTGGGCGAAGTGATTGCGCTTCCCACATTTGACACAAATGCGGCTCCACGCCGGACACTGTTCGCGGTTCCTCGGATGTCGTGTTGCACAGAAGTTGCAGGGCTCCTGTCGCGCGGTCGTGGCCCTCGTAGTTTTGCTCCTGGAAACGGCGCACAACTCTGAATCAACTGTGATTGTCATCTGCTGGAACTGATAGGCAGTGGAGGACTCACTGTTACAGATGTCGATACATTGCTGCAGAGATAGGTTGCGCTTTCGTAATAGTCGCTTCGTCAAACCTTCGTCATTGATCCCGAGAACAATGCGGTCCCGTATGAGACTGTCCGCCATGCATTTACAGAAACTGCAGGATCGGGCCAAAATCTTTAGCTCAGTGACGTACGTGTCAACGGATTCACCTGGCCGTCTGTTCCGCGAAAAGAAGAGGTAGCGTTGAAATGTCTCGTTTGTTTGGCCTTCGCAGTATTCACTGAACTTCTCAAGAACTGTCTCCAGATTGTTGGCATCTTCGCTCTTGTCGTAACACAAAGTCTCTAGCACGCGGCGCGCATCATCTCCTGCTGCGTGTCGAAACATGGCCAAGCAGTACGCCATCGGTTGTTTGTCCAGACGCGATAAAGTGCAGAAATCCATCCATTTGCTCTTCCACAAACGCCAGTTGCTTGCCAAACTGCGTTCATCCATGTTCAGCGGGGCAGGCATTTGAATAGCCGGTGCAGCTCCAATCATCGTGTGGGTGGTACTAATGTTCTTCTTCTTCTCTGACACCATGTAAAAGTCGGTCCTTCAGGGACAAAACGTATATTCTGCAAACAAAAGGACCAGGCAAAAACGCAGGCAGAGGGCGAGTGAAACATATCGGTATATACAGCTAGTTGGATCCATAATTAACGATCTTTGTGAATGCATGACATTTTTCCTTT